CTTCGCTTTCGCACATCACGTCTTCTCTGCGGCCCGGCAGCTGACGGCCCGGACGTGCGTCCAGCCTCGGTCCGCTCGAAGGGGCGCTCTCGTGGTTGGGGCTCGTGTTCATGGGGGGGGCGTGGAGGCTTGTAAGCTCAGGTCCACCGAGCCAGTAGTTGCTCTCTTCCGTACGGACGGCCTCCGCTTTGAGCGCTGATTTTGCGTCTGCGCACTTCTCGCCGCGGAAGCGCTTCGCGTGCTTGACCTGCCTCTGAGATAGCTTTGTCCCAGACGTCATACAAAGACATCGTCTGGCCTGCAACCCACGCAAGGAACAAAGGGCACTTCAAGGCAGCCCGGCAGGGCAGGCCTCGAAACTTGACTTGCACTTTCCTGCCATTGTCATCTTGAGCGTAGCCAACATGCATAGGCCTGCAGCCCGGCTCAGAAAGCTACGAGACGCCTGAGGTGTTCAATGGTGCACAGTGGTCTGTGATGGCATCTTTTTACTGCTGCATCTAGGCCAAGACAAAATGTTCGATGCTTTCCGGCCACGCAAGTAACCCTCGGGAGGTTTCGGGGCTCCGTGCTTCAAGAGCACGTCTTTCACATATGCAAAGGCACATGAACAGCTCAGGCAGCGGCTGGTGCAAGTCGCCTTAGGCAAGCGGGAGTCGCAACACAATCACCAGCAGCCCTGATGTTGCTCCCAAGAGCAGAAGTTGTGAACAAAACCGATTGACATAACATCTCAAATAGTAGCGGGGCTGCCGAACCGGCTGCTCAGAGTCTGAAGAGTCTGAGAGTGGGCAAGACGGGTGACATCGGGTGACAGCACATCGCCTTTTAGGAAGCCCAGGCCTCTCATGGGGCCCGAGCCTATGAGATTGATCAGCATCTTCAGAAAGTCCGCGTCTGAAAACTTGATGCCCTTCGAAGTGCAGCCCAGGACATGCGAACACGGAGGCTCCAAGGCTTCGGCCTTGGCAACTTTGTTGTAATCGATGACGGGATACTCTATCCTGGTGCAGTGCTGCGACTCGGACCCACACCCCGCTTCTTGAAACTGCGGGCGCCTTCTGCCTTCATCCGACAAGACCTGCTGCTGCACATCGCCGGCTGCATAGCAAGGGGGAGATTCTGGAAAGGGCCTTGCCATAGAAGTGCTTGATGGCTTCCAACAAGCAGATGTTGTCCTGGTCGGGGAGAGCTGTGCAAGAAGGCGGCCGACGCCGCCACACAAAGGCCTGGCACTTGGCCGATCTTCTCTCGCCACAGAAGCCATAGGAATCGTCGTGAACCTCGGCTCAGACTGCCATTCCCCAAACCTTGAAGTGCTTGTGCCCGCGTGCCTGGAAATGGAGCCTGGCAGTATCGGGATAGGTGTCGTGAACCTGATCACGTGCTGCAGGGCAGATGGGGCATGCCAAAAAATTGTGGTGAAAGGCTAAAGTGTAGTTCCTGCCAGCAGATTCATGGCTGTGGCAACGTTCTACAGCGGGGCGGAGTGTCCAAGTCAAAATTCGCAGCTGCCTTGTTTCGAGGGAGAATCCCATTACACTTTTTGGAGGAAAGTGGGAGAATTTGGGTTGGCTGGTGACCTGGTGGGCTGCTCGCGATCCCGCCTGATGTCCCCAGCCGGCAACATCCGAAGCATCCTGCAGAATGTCCCATGCTTCAGAGCCAAGAACACCATCAGGTCCTGTCCTGACCACCCATCATTCTCTTGATCTGCCTGAGCGAACAGAAAGCTGCACAACTTTGCACTGCTCACAGCAAGGTGTCCGAGCCCGCAACTTGATCGCCTCTTGATCCATCGCGCTCGCCTTTCATGCTTCAAACCCGGTCGCCAACTCGTCGAATGATGCTAAACATTTCTGTCTTGTCGGGACAGATATGAACACAAATACAAACCAATATTCAATCTGTGAATAAACAGATAGGCAAATAAATAAGTGAATAACGTCTATACACATACATATGTGCGCGGGAAGGCGCACCATCTTGATGTGATGATGTGATCGGTCCAGGAATTCGGTGTCCCATGCCCCGACCTGTTCTGCCATGCTCTGCCTGATAGCTGTTGCAGCGGTGATTTCATGATATCTCGTGACGAGGACTTAGACGTGGAAAAAGATCGCTAGAGCAGCCGATGGATCAAGGCCATGGCGATACCTCAGAGAAAATGACCCCTCTGTTTTGCAGACAAACAACAAAGCTGGTGAACATGACTTCGAGGGGAGCTCGCACCAAACAGCGGCGCTGCGTTGTAGCCGCCGGACATAAGGAGCAAGCAAAAAGGACCAAGAGCGGGGGAGGACGTGGGACCGGGGAAATTACAAGAACGGTCTTGAAACGATGCCAGCAAAACGAACAGGAAGGGATCCAGCCGGACTTTGATGTCCAAGGAAAGTAGCCGGTAGTAGCGTATCCAGAAGGAGGTACATGGACGAAGGCAAACATGAAAAGGATCGAGGGCATGTAACGATGCAAGCTTCAGGTAAAAGATGCTGCACGCTTGAGACAACCCTATTCAAGCGACCAGGCAACAACAGGATTATGGCGGGAAACAGAAGCCTCCCCACAGACTCAGGGACAGGCACATGTCTGTCCCACGGCATCGTGCGCTTCGATGTCGAAGCCCGTCTGAGTTGCAGTCACGATCATATTGTGAGCCCATTTCAACTCTCGCCATACTGTACTGCCGTCCTATGAGCGCGTTTACGAAACCTAGAGCAGCGCATGGACACATGCGGCTCTGCTTCGGGTGGGGAATTTCTGTGGCCATTACTGCTTCTCTGTGGTCATTGCCTTTTGGAGGTTGAGGGGAGCGAATCGTCCTAGTAGTAATAGTACTAACATGATTCACGAGACTACTATGACGTTCTGCTTTGCGGGCAGCCTCAGGCTGCAATCCTAAACTCAACCACAAAAAACGACGAACACGTAGGAACGAAATGACAGCAGGAGGAGGACTGTGTACAGCGACAATGCCACTCCAACCTTTCATGTCACAAACAACTATAATGTGAAAACAACTAACTGCTACGACCTGGGCCAGGCTTCCTGGCCTGCAACGGCTCTATCCACAACTGGAGATTTTGCAGCCCTCCAGTCTGCATAAGAGTGAGGTTCAAGTTTGTATAGCATTCATGACGGACGTTACAAACACCATCGTCATAGCAATCGCAGAAGCAGTAACAAGACTAAGGGCGGCATACGACAGCGGCAGTAGTACCACAGAATCGGCAAAACCCGCACAATATCAAACACCACGTGCATAACATACACAACCGTAATGGCAATCGCAAAAAGTAGCAGTAACAGTAAAAGTACAAGCAAAATGAGCAACAATGAATGACCATACCAGACAACTACATGTTCGTATCTGTTCATGATGAAAGTGAAGGTAATGATGGTGATGTTAAGTTACTCAGAGCAATAGTAAGTACAATGACCGCAAGAGTGCAAGAGGCCTGTGAAGAAGCTAGGCAAGTGGACATGCCGTGGTCAGCCAATTGGGCCCGCTGCAGTCATCACTGCGATCGCAAGGAGAGCTGCCACCCTGGCATAAAACAGCAGCGCTGTTGCGAGAAAATGTACTGACATGATCACACATGGACCAATGGAGCCAAGCTGCAGTCGCCATAGCCGCCGCATCGTGCTGCAGCTATTCGGAGTCAGTTTTGCTGAAACACTGTGTTGAGCAAGGAGCTTGGCTTGGTCCATATGCGTGTGTGTGTGTGTGTGGGTGTGGGTGTGTGTGTGTGCTGGTGCAGAGATGCTGGCTGCTCGCGAATGACACGCATGGTTGCGGCGTCGCGATGCACGCTTTTTTCTGATTGGCAATCACGAAATGACCGCATGCATGTGTGCATGCATATATGCCGGACTCCTACCAACAATAGCCAAATGTGCCGGCAACAGGAGTTTGCGAGAAATCCCCGAACGCGCGCAAAACACCTGCAACCATTTTGGGTGCAGCGCTGCTCCAGTTAGCCTTTCGACGGTATCGCTCCAGAGCTGCTCGCTGATGCATGATCCTCCTGGCATGTTTGTCACATCTCAACGAATGCCTGGGCTTTCTGACTGCACCTCCAGAGCACGCAGATCCGGCGCGGAAACGAAGCGTATCTCCGGTTTGAGCGCTCGCAAGCCCTGAGCAAACTGCCCGTTGACACTTGGTGTGCAGATCTATCGTTTAGGGCCCAAGCTTTGTGCATGCAGTCGCGGTAAAAGGCAGCCCTTGTCAGTGCAAAAGCTCAGACACATGCTGAGACCTCAGCCGCGAAGAGTGCCTGGAGTGGTTCTTGTTCATGCTGGCCAAAGCATGCATCTTGTGGGTGTAGAGGAGGCTTGAAAACGAGACTGTCGTCGCCCTGGAGAGTGATGCTTCTGCGTTGTCAGCCTTCTGTGAAGACCGGGGTCGCATAATGTTGAGCAGCCAGCATGGCTGTCTCCTCCGGATCATCGGGATCCGATCCATCAATCTGGCAATCTGAAGAAAACAAAAGAGATAGCGCAGCTTGCGGGCCAAGGCGGCCAAGCCAGGCCTCCACTGCGTCACAGACGCAGGGCTCCTCGAAGTCCTCTGGCTAAAGCGCTAAAGCTCACAAGAGACAGTCGGACTCTTTGGAGCAGGTTGCGAGCCTCGGAGCCGGTGACCTGCCGCAACAGGGACGCGGATGCCCGGAGTCGGGCCGGAGTCGGGCCGGAGTCGGGCCTCGAGGGTCTCCGAGTCGGAGTCCTTTGCCGACCTGCAACGAAGACTCCACGGAGTCTCTACGAAGTCTCTTGCTTCTTGCTAAAGGTCAGAGATCTCGAGGGGCCCTCAAGCGCCTCTCGCTGTCGCCCTCCGCCGGTCCCGTGACCAACCTTTGCAAGTCGCCGGCTGGTCGAGGAGGAAATGCAGAACATCGCCGCAAGAACGCAGCGCAAAGAAGACGGCACCCGCAGCCAGGCGTTATGCGCTAAGCTCGATTTCCGGAAACCCTTCCCCCAGCGCAGACCGCTGGTCCCGCGCCTAGCAGCATAATGCAGTACATGTTATTTGCAGCACATCCGGCAGGGCGCTGCAAGCGAGAAGTGGTACTAGTATAGCGATGATGTGGTAATGCCGACGTAGTGCGTCTTTTGCACAAACTGCGCGGGTCGAGGGCCCGGCATGATGATGCCGCCCAAGACCGTCAAAGAGCTCGAGGCCAGCCCCGTCCTCGGCGCGGGCGCCGGGCGCGGGTTCCCAACTCGGACCTGCGGCGCCCCGAGGCCGGGGGCCAGGACTTCACTTCCTTCCACTCCTCGAGCCTCACATGGACTCACGTCTGACTCGGATGACTGAAGAGGCCGTAAGGCCGCGACACCACCAGCCCCGTCGCTACCTCGAAGGAACACTCCAACTCCGCTCGTCTGATAAGAGGAGCATCTTCTCTCAACCCGCCGGGTAACGCTCACGAAGATGTTCATCACTGTGGAGCAAGGGATGAAGAGAAGGACGTCGCATCGGTGGCACCCGATGATCGTCCCTGCACGCATGCCAACCTCAGAGACGACGAGAGACGAGACAGTTCCAAAAGGGGGGGGTGGTGCGGTCGCTGCTCAGCGCGAGCCGAGAGGCCAAGAAGATGAGGTTGGCGACGACGGAAATCCAGAAGAGCTCCGACTGCAGAGCCCGGGCCCTCGGCAAAGGCTCACCGCTCGCTGCGGCCTTGCATGCCCTCCTGTGCTTCGGGTATCTTTGGGTGCTGGCGGGCCAGTCTTCAGGGGAGCCGCCCAGCCCTTTGCCGCCACGTCCATGGCGGCGCTGCTGGTGCTTGTCACGGTGCAAACCGCCAAGACCTCTCCGGCAGCCGAAAGGAAAAGGGAGCGCCAGCGCGCCCCCGCGCACCACCCTGCCTCGATGGTCTCCTGGCGCCAGTTGAAGCGCCTCAGGGCTCAGCGACGCCAGAAACGAGTGCAGGGGAAAGCTCTGCGAGGCCGAAACCGCCTGGTGGCAACCGAGTCCTCGTCCGAACTCCTTACCTGCCAGCACTGCCGGCGGAGGAGTGGTCTCTGATGGCAGTTATGCCAGTTACGCAGCCACACCTCCTCGCTGGCACTCTCGGACCTCGCAAAGCAGAGCGGCTCGGAGTTGATGCCACGGCATGGAGGCCGGGAGGCCTCTGAGTCTGTTCCTTCTTTCTTCGTCCTCAGTTTTCAAGTTCCATTCCAAACTTGACCCAGGGGGTCATCCGAGGCTTTGGCGCCGAGTGAAAATCGGCCACCTGCCTGCCATCATGAGTGCAGCAACAGAGAGACACACGGAGCACCCCCCGCCGATGGCAACGCATCCTGAAGAGTGATGTCTTCGAAGCAAGCAGCTCCTCCAAATCATGGGAGGAGCATCGCATGCATACCACAATAGGACAGCGTCCTGGCGCGGAGACGCTCTCGGAGCATGTACAGGATCTGGACCAGGGAGCGGACATGCATAGAACAGAAGGCAACGTCCGAGCATACCAGGAGTGGTCACGGATCTCTGCTGTCACACGGCCCGCAGTCGACACATTGACCCAAATCCTCAACATTTCCCGATATGGATCTCTGGTATGTTGACTGATGGGAGACTTTCAATGCTGGTACCAGCAGCATTACACCTCTCAGTAATTACTTCACACCCAGCTGATCAGAGCCGATTTCCTCGTCCTGTGCACATTCGGTTGGCATGAGTTTCTGCGAGCTCCCGCGTTCGAGGGCTTGCAAACGCTTGCAAACATGTAGGAACACGCATTCAAGCGCGATCGCAGAAACGCGCATGCGGGCTGCGTTCGCGTGTGCTCGCACACCCGAACGTGGATGTCAATGTCTGGAGCTTGATTGCTAATTACTGACACCGTGTACTGGAACAGCTTTTGGGCATCTTTTGAAGTAGGGTCTGAAGTCTGAGTTGTTGCCCCGATCCAGACACAGACACAGACACAGATGCAGACACAGACACAGGCACTGACACACACACACACACACGCATATATATATATGGATGGTCACACACCCCCCTATGATCCACCCGAGCCTTCTTGCCATCTGTTCGTCCACAGTCTTATGTTTCCAAATGCTTTCTCCGAAGCCCAAAAACCATCGGTATTTACAGTGGTTTCTGCGCTCCACACAAACCGACATCTACTTATTGTGCTTGTTTGTGGTATGTGTAA